ATATATATATATATACACAACACATACATATACAAATCCATATACACGATATATATACACATACCTTGGCGAATTTTGAAGAAAAACAATTTGTTGGAGAAGATTGGAGAAGATTGAGATTTTTTTTAAAAAAAATTCGAAGTCTGGAGGAGAAAGACGAAGTCGCAGCTTTTATTAAGTGTTGCGACGAATATTGCAGTCGCAACCCGTCGCAAAACGAAAAATAAAACCGCGAAAATTTAAAATTTTTCATTGAAAATAGAGGAAAAAAATAAAATTTAGATTTGCGACAGAAATTTCTGTCGCACATCCGTCGAAAAACAAAAAATAAACCGCGAAAATTTGAAAATTTTCATCGAAAATAATAAAAAAATGAAATTATGATTTGCGACAGAAATTTCTGTCGCAAATCTGTCGCAAATTCCAAAAATAAATAACTTTAATTTAAAAATAAATAAAATTAATATTTGCGACAGAAATTTATGTCGCAAATCTGTCGCAAATCCGCAATTTTAAAATTTCTGTCACAAATAATGTTTGGTTCTGCGACGACAACGTTTCCGTCGTATTCCGTCGCAAATATGCGACGGATTTTGTGACTAATTGCGACGGAATAAAAATTTTTCGCATTCCGTCGCAAATTCGTCGAATTCTGTCGTAATTTCTTTGCGACGGAAAAATTTCGTCGCAAATTCCGTCGCTATATTAAGATTTTCTTGTAGTGTAAGATACAACTTTAAAATATGTGCAAAAATTCTAAATAAAATCTAAAATGAAAATGATGGGATGAAACCAAACTAGTGCTAAAAGTCGACATCAATATCAAAACATTTATGTGTTGATCTAATAAAAAAACAAAATAAATACCTAATCTTGGCTTCTTCTACACCACTTTTACATAATGGCATGCTCTCTTTTGTTTTGTTTTCTCTCCACATGCACGTTCATCACTCTTACCATTTTCATCACATTTCTCCACCTCTCTTTGTCCCTCACACGTCTCACTCTCTCCCTCTATAATATCCCGTCATCTTCTCTTCATTATGTCACAATAAATCACCTACAAATCTGGTTGAAACTCACACTTCGCTTGCCCATAGTTCTCTTCGCTCCTCTCCTCCAAATTTTCGTCTCTCCTCCTGACATATTAGTGTGCATCCTCCAGCCTTTTACAGGCCTCTTTCCTCTCCATTTCTTGCTTGAAAAGCATCATCGACGGTTCGTAGCACACCCATTCCTCTCCGCTTGGTAAGTCTTCTTCGTCATTTTTTTTCTTCGTGTTATTCCTCTATAAGTTTATGTACATCTTAACCTTTTCTTCTTCAAGTTATACTTCGTTTGCGGAAGATTCAAGATGCTTTTAAAGCTATAACTCCTTCGTTTTCGCTCTAGCACATGTGTGGTGAGATTCTTTAAGTTCTAGACTTCAACCTTTCGAACTATTTTTATAACTCCCTTCATGTTTCAAGTTATCTTCTTACCTATA